TGCCCATCTCTATCGTGCCCGTCTTTATCATACCCATCTTTATCCCATCCGTCCTTGCCGTCCTTGTCGTGCCCATCTTTATCATACCCATCTTTATCCCACCATCCCCCATCTCCTCGTTTTCCCTTATCTTTCTTGTCCTTGTCATCGTCATACTTCGGCCAGTACTTCTCGTCTGGATAAATGAGTTTCTCAATATCCTTGACCTTCCAGCCATCGACACCCTCAAATTCCTTGTAGAGCTTCTCGCGCAGCTCCTTGGGGAAGCGGTCGTGGTACTCTTTTATCTGCTTGGGACTGAGGGGCCAGAAGGCCGTGACCTTCTTATCGTGGTCGAACTCCCGCAAGACGCCATCGTGTCCCAGATGGACTTTGCCCTTATGGTCTGGGGGGAGGTGGCAGACCTCATAGTCTGGTTCCTTGTCTCCGAGGTCCTATGTTAGGGTTAGCTAGATGTAGACTGTAGAGATGAGTGGAGATGGAGTAGCTCACGGTGGGAGCCGCAATGGCACTACCGAGAAGAAGGAGGATCAGGGAGGCGGGGAGCTTCATCTTGAGAATGAGTTGGAGATTGATCAGAGGTTGCTTTTGGGAGGGAGAATTGTAGAGGATGAGGATGGGGATCTTAGTGTTGGATGTAGTCTAGGCTTGGAGGGAGAAGAAGGGGGCTATTTATCTTCGAGGTCTAGTGTATGTATTCTGACCTTCTCAGGGAACTGCTGGACAGTACAACGAGTTCCGGTGTCTCGATTACGCGTTCGAAAGTAGCTATTTTCGTCATGGAGGCATCTTGTGATTTGTAGTGTAGAGGCTTCCCTGTATACATTGTTGGGTAGCTTTCAGTTCGAACGCGTTGAACAAAATTGGTGCATGTTGTTGGCCCAGATCGGGATCTTACGCAATGTAGCCTGTGTCGGCCACCCTTCGGAGAATATACTCACTTACGGAGCTATACTCTCTCTCTCTCTCTCTCTCTCTCTCCATTATCTGACAGGGACACTTTTGGTAACTTCTCATATTATAGATATTACATGGCGCAGATATAACCATCTAGTATCTACCACGTAACGAACCAGAACCCAAAGATCGCCACACACCCCACCACAAAACAGAAATTCATACGCTCAAAACCTCCAATTGGAGAATCTTACCACTCGCCTCCGAGAGATAATCGAGAATTACTTACGTAACTCAATCTAGACCATCCCTTCAAGAACAGAGGCCTGAGCTCCTATCCGGAACCACGACGCTCGTACCAACTAGGAAGTAGGGCATGGTGTCGGCACGGGAGAGAAACAGCCCGATTGGTGAGGCCAGTCGGTGTTCCTTGTCCATGTAACGCGGACTCTCGGGCTTGGATGTGGGCTGGTTCACGAACGCCGTGAGATTCCGATATGCCACGAACAAGATGACGCAATCCTGTCGGGCTGGATGAATCTTAAAGTGGTTTCATGGATTGAGAATATGTTCTTACTTGACTGATGCTGTGGTGGTGATTGGTCTGGAGTGTTCGGGGATATGTCCGACACTCCAAGGAATTGTATGTAGATCTCGCAGGGGGCTCTTCCCTGGTCCAGTGCTTTTCATTTAGAAATATATTACGTCGATAAGGAAGATGTGTATGTACATGCACGCAAAGTGTAATATTCGTAGCTGGGTTCATGGTCTCGGTTGTCGAAGAACCCGCGCACAATCAATTTGATCCGCTGTCGCCTCGTCTATCACGTATTTCTGACCAATCTTCGCAAGGAGTTCCTCCAAACTCGTCTGATCCTCCTCTATCCATGGCAGAGGCCCTTCATCCACGCACTTCATCTGGCGCCCAGTACCATAATGATACAATAATCGTCGCGAATACCAATCTGAATCAAAAGTCAGGTAGCTGTCTTCGTGCATACCGATGATGATTTCGGTCTCGCGCTCGAATGGTGTGCTGTCATCCCTGTCCCACCAATACTCAGAATGTCCGTATCGGAAATGCCGGAGGTGCCGCAGTCCTTGAAAAGATTTGAAATAATGGCGCCAGCGTTTGGCGTAGATCGCGTAGTTTTTGCCCACCGCTCCGGGATGGGTGGTGTAACTATCCGGATCCAAATAGGTTCTTTCTTTGTCGCGGGTTGCTACTACCCAGAGGATGGCACAGTCGTCTAGGTAGAGTTCAGTGAGAGTGTCGCGGTGGCTGAGGATCCAGTCTAGCTGGGAGTCGTGGACGAAAGCGTAATTCCCAAGTGCGAGAGTCTTCAGCCGAGGGAAATGTACATCACGGAGATCCAACTTCGGGTAGTAACCAAAGTAATGGCTAGAGTAAATGGTGAGGTGTTCTAAGTTCTGGAGAGCGGGCCTCAGCCAGAAGGACGGTAGTGCGGAAAAGAAAGTGTGGATGTCGTCGTGCTATTGATAGCATATTAGCTTGTAGTACTTAGCGTTGAGAGATAACTACAAACATATAAGTCGCTCTCGGAGTTTCCTGAATTGTGTGGATTGGTGATATTCAGACGGAGCGAACGTAAATTCCGTAGGACCTTCTTCGTGTTCTCCACATCATCTGGGTTGCTCTCGTTCACATTATGCAGGTCTCGAATGGCGAGTTCCCGTGGTAGCTGGGGTAGAGCTGTAATTGCCGACAGGAACTCTTTCATCACGGCTGAGCGGAGTCCAAGTGGGTGCGGAACGTCTGTATCTTCATCCTCACCACACTCGGGGTGAAAGCGAAGGACAACGCTCTGGAGTCGTGGAAGCTCCTTAAGACGAGGAAATAGCCTTACGAATTTACGAAATTCCTTCTCCTTGGGATCATCCCGGGTCTCATCATTGTACTTATCATACACATAAAGCTGAGTGCAGATATTAGTTTATGTGCCTTAAAAAAAGAGGAAGGGTAACAAACGCCTTCAAACGCACTCAGGTCGAGATAGACTTTCGTCACTGATTGTAACCAGTCACGATCTTCATTTTCAAGAAAGTCAATAAATCGATCGCAGCTCTCCTCGGTTGCGTAAATAGTAATTGATTCAAACAGACGCTCTTTGCCGATCTCGCCGAGGGATCGGCATACCTGCCGCAGCGCTTTGAGTGAATGCGGATCTGCGCAGCGGACGATCTGGTGGAGAATCTCAGTGGGAAGTGATGTGAGGCTCTGCATTGCGAAGTATACAGAGTATGCCGTGCAGTAGGCGGAAGGAATAGCAAGCCAGATCTACCTCACTTATAGCTCCCAAGGCCCACAGGCAACAAGGCACCCTGGAGCCTGCCTGGTACCTGATTTGGCACTAAGGCGTTAGCATGAATCTAGCGAGTAGCCTCCCAAGGCATCAAATCTGCTCGTCCATAGTAAAAACGCCCGACATTGAATATACCGTTACTTCATTATATTCCATTGAAATTATCAGAGCAGCGTGGACATTACAGAACATGTATCTGCCGTGTTGTGCCTTAAATTTGGATCAATACACCTTCGGCAGCCCTAATTCACTAATCGTTCCTCGCTATTCATAGTACTGGCCATGTGTACGTAGTAGGGGTATTGACTGGAATTTTCCAAGGAATAATTTAAAAAGAAATAAAGAAATAAAGAAAGAAAAAAATAAGTTTTAACCTTGGTGTTTAAGGGACTAAGTGACATTCTGGAGGGCGAACTTGAAGCTATGCGGACTTATTTGATTTGCTGGCTCGCGGTCCTTCCATTTACTGACAAATGTACAGAGTAGAGGGGGACAATATTGTTGCCTTATTCCCAAGGTGTCAGTCCCCGATAAGATAACGCCGGCAAAACATCGGTCCGATCGACATTTTCAACAGCCATGGAAATGAAAAGCCGACAGCATCATGGCAACAGCCGCCTGCTAATGATTTAATGATTGTGATATACTTGGTTTAATCGCATTTTTCTCCTCTATATACCCCTATTCTGTACCTCTATCAATTAACCTCCTTCAAAATGGGTGTCCAAAAGAAAACCCGCAAGTTTGCCCAGGTACGCAATTCCAACCGCCTTACCAACCCGCCCAGAGAATCAGAAAAACTGATACAAGACATTAAACCAGGTCAAACGGGCGATCAAAAAGCACGATGACCGCGCCAAGAAAGACAACAACGCCCCGAAACAAGACAAGGCCAAAGCCGACGAGGTAGTCCGGGCGATTCCCCAAGCTCCGTCCAACATGTTCTTCGCCGCCAACACGGCCCTCGGACCTCCCTACCATGTGTTGGTGGATACCAATTTTGTCTCCCACTCTATTCGCGCGAAGACGGATATGTTGAAGTCTATGATGGATCTGTGAGTAGCAGATGCTCTTGGGTGGTGCGGTGGCGATGGCTGATTGTCGACAGGTTATATGCCAAGTGTATCCCGACGTTTACGGATTGTACTATTGCGGAATTGGAGAAACTGGGCGATAAGTTCCGGTTGGCGCTGAGGGTGGCTAAGGATCCGAGATGGGCGCGCGTGCGGTGTGACCATCCCGGAACTTATGCTGATGACTGTTTGGTTGATCGGGTGAGTTGCTGAGGGTTCGGAAGATTTGAGATGGCATGGTCTAACTGGGTCGAAGATCCAAAAACACAGAATCTACATCGTGGCGACAAACGATAAGGACCTGGTTCGCCGAATTCGCAAGATTCCCGGTGTGCCGATTATGAAGGTCGCCAGAGCGAAATACGTGATTGAGAGGCTGCCTGACCACTTTGAGTGAGCCTGTGCAAGAGTATAGAAGATCTCGTGTTGACAACTACGGAATGCACCTCTGATTGGGACGTTGGGGCAAGAACATTGCAAATCCGGCCCCAATCCTGCGATACCGGCAGATCATTATCGGAGGAATCCATCTTCCAATCCAATACCGCTGCGGACTCGCTTGGATTCTTTGCGGAGGAAGGGTCTCAGGACACAGCTACGGAGGACACTAGATGTAATTAGCAAGGGCTGTATACGACTTCAATGATAATAACATGATACCATTGGTATATCAAGAGTGGAGATGGTATAGATAAGCACGAAAGATGACTCAACTGCGGCATTTTCCCTGGGATCTAGACTGGCTTAAACATAAAATAAATACCCCATGAATGTGCATGCGGGGTCAGCCTTACCCTTCCTCCATGACCCATTGATATACATCTCAATTGACAGGACAATCTGTTCCAGCTCAACAAACAAGCTTTAAACCAGAATGCCCGAGAAAGAAACAATTGTAGTCCTCGGGTACGTCATCCACCCATTATATCCCCAACCATAAAAAGCCAACTTCCAAAACTAACCCCAAACAAACAGCGCCGGAGTAATCGGCCTCACAACCGCCCTCCGCATCCAAGAAACCCTGAACCGTAACCAATCCATCCAACTCATAGCCCGCGACTTCCCCAACACCACATCCCTAAACTACGCCTCTCCCTGGGCCGGCGCGCACTACCGCCCCGTCCCCGGTTCAACACCCCAAGCCCTCCGCGAAGAAACCCAAGCCAAACAAACCTACACTTACCTCAAAGACCTAGCAACACGCGACCCTTCCTCAGGCATAGCCATCGTCGAAGGAATCGAGCACCTCGAGAATCCACCGGCCGAATATCTCGACGAAAAGAGCATCCAAGAATGTTACGGCCATCTGGACGGGTTCAGGATTCTAGGGAAGGAGGAATATCCTAAGGATGTGAAATGGGGAGCTCGATATGAGACTGTCGTGATTAATTCGCCGGTGTATTGTGCGTATCTTCTAAGAAAGTTTGTGTTGGGTGGTGGAGTTACGAGGGAATATACGGTGATTGATCCCCTGGAGGCGTTTTCTTTGGCTCCGAATGTGAGGACGGTGGTTAATTGTTCGGGGTTGGGGTTTGGGGATGGGAGGTCGTTTATTATTCGCGGTTTGTTTCTCCGTTCCTTTCCTTTCCTCTTCTTTCCTTTTGATCTGGTGTTGTTTTTACCTCTCGGGGTTGACTTTGTCGTGATATGATGTGGTTGGTGGAGTGTTAACGAGATGTTTAGGGCAAACGTGTCTCGTCCGGAACCCTTGCAGTCAGACGGTGACGAGGCAGAATGCCGATGGGTCTTGGTCGTTTTGTATCCCGCGGCCGTTGTCTGGGGGCACCATTATTGGGGGCACGAAGCAACCGCGCGATTATGATCCCACTCCGTCGGCGGAAACGAGAGAGAAGTTACTTGCCAATGCGGCCAAGTGGTTCCCGTTTGCGACGGGGAGTGAGGGCAAGTTTGATGTCATTCGGGATATTGTGGGTAGGAGACCGGCTCGAGAAGGTGGAATGAGAGTGGAGGCGGAGAAAGTTGGGGATGGTCGGTGTGTGGTCCATGCTTATGGGGCGGGAGGGAGAGGCTTCGAGTTATCATACGGCGTGGCGGGGGATGTGGTGAAGTTGATGGTGGGCAATAAGTTGGTTGGTGAGAGGGCTTCGTTGTAGAAGTCATGGACCTCTCTCCTTGTATCGCTGTCAGTTTGGGGGCACGTGTTAGGGTGGATTGTATGTGAAATAAGTATAGTTTGGATCAAACGTCTGATATCTAAAGATTCCAATGTCTATAGGACTGCAGGTAGACTTTCCAGTCTGACATCCAGGAAGTGCATAAATCATAATACCTCGTTGGGCAAAAGGATAAAAAAAAAGAACGCTAAGTTCATTGTATCAACGAACGTTCATTTTTACGTACAAAATCTGGCATAACAAATGGTGTCCTTCACTCCGCCACGAAATACACGACACTCGATCTATCTCAATCTTGTGTACGTGGCTGTTGTCCTCTAGAATCTTTGGACATGAATCCGGCGGTGGCCGGAGTTCATGATCAAAGATGACACACAAAACGTCACACGTTAACCGCAGCCCTCAATCGAGGAGACCAATACAAGTGATTACTCGGTAAGAAGAGGGACCAAAGATAAACAACATTGTATCTATCATCCAGGAGATCAACACTGCGGGCCCGGACAACGGCCTGGTTCACCGATTCCAGGGTGGGGGCGTTGCCCGAAAGCCCAAGAGGCGCAGTTTCTTGGGGGGATCGCACACGCTCAGCCTTCACCCTCCTGTGCAATGGTTTCGTCGTTCGAAATCGGTACCGGTGCCCCATGCAGTTTCGCCAGTCGTTCTTCTTCCTTCTGTTCCCGGATTCTCTCAGTCTCCCTGCGGAGGGCAGCCAGGTTGAAGGTATCGTCATCATCCTCCTCATCCTCACTCTCATCCTCGGCACGCCAGTTACCGCTCTCAAACAATGTTCGTCCAGTGGCTTCCTTGGCCTTGCGGGCTTGCTCTTCGGCTTGCTTCTTGTCGAGTCGCTGCTTCTTCCACTCGGCGAATGTTTGAGGGGTGACCGGCGTCAAGTTACCTGTGAGCTTGTGTCGTTCGCTTTCAAGCCAGTCTTCTAGTGTCAGGGTGTTGAGCGGAGACTTGTCCATCAAGGCCTTCTCAGCCGCACGCTGCTCCTTCGTCTTCAGGACGAATCTGTTGGAAACGTCAATCAGTATCAATCATAAAAAAAAAAAAGTAAAATAAAAATGTGAGAACGGTGCAACATACCCAGGGGGCAAACTGTGCTTATACTTGCAGGTGTCACCTCCATTGGGACAGACCCAGAACCAACCGTACTTCTGGTTCTCGACCGCCTCAATGAAATACTTGCAGACCTTATCGGTCGTCGTCTTCGGGTTTCCGTGCTTGCTCAAGACGACATTGCGCAGCTTCTCTTCATCCCAGTCATCCATGGTATCCTTCTTCTTGGTTTCCTCTTCCGTGGCCTTCACGTCTCGGGAATCGGTGTACAGATCCTTCTTCGCAGCCTTGCGCTCCACATTCGGATCGTGACTGAACTTGCACTTCTTTCCCTTCTCACAATTTCCTTGCTTGAAGAAGATACACAGAACGGTCTTGGGGTCCACACCGAAGGGAATCTTCTGCACCTGCACCGGCTTGAACAGCTCAGCCGCTTCCTTCTTCGCCTGGTCGGCGGCCTTCTTTTCGGCCTCACGACGGGCCTTCTCGGCCTCTTTCCGCTTCACATCGGCGGATTTGTTGGACTTCTCCTGGGTTCTTAATTGTTCGATCTGTTTCTTGGCCTGGGCACCTTTTTTCTGTAGGATGAAAGATTTTGCTGTCAGTGGCGATTTCACTCTCGGATGACCGTCGGGGGTGTTGAAAGGGGGAGATAATATGCTGTCGGGAGATCACTACATACGTTTTTCATGCCAAAGGTCTGTTTAAAAAAAAAAAATTTGGTTAGCGACGTTATACGATCACGCGATCGGAGGGACAAACCTTGTCCTCGACCGAGGCCTTCTTCTTCTTAGGCTCATTGCTCTGCTTCTTGGGAGGCATGGTGGCGGTTTTTCTTTTTTTACTAAGACTCTCTATCGATAGAACGCTGCAAATCCGACAAGATAAGGATAGATAGCGCGCGCCTGTCTAGCGGTGGCGGTGGTGTTGATCGAAACGAAAACCTCCCACAGTCGACGGGTCGAAAACCGTTGGTGGGGGATGGTCGGGGCGGTGGCTTCGAAAACAACAAAGCCGGATGCCGGAAAAGAATAATATAAATGAAGGGGGGGAAACAACACCTCTCGCGGTTACACAGACGAGAGGGAAACGATCGTGGTGGTCAAAAGGAAATCTTTCTTTTCGGTGAGTTGAAGGATGTTCTTCCTCCACATTTTCGAGGTGTGGGTTTCCCGTCTTGGGTTCTTGTGGCGGCACCGCCAAACTGATTTATTAAATTTATGCACTTACTAAGGGTTTCTTTTTTCCTCCATTCATTCTGTTTCTTGCATGGCGCCTCTACCAAATTGATTCTCATGTTTTCGAGTAATGGAAATACGGCCAAGAATGACTAATCCTTTTGTAGAAAAAATATTAGCAAAATAATGAGGTCATGAGACAAGTAATACAGTCTCGCCATTACTGGCGGCGAGGAGGTATAGGGAATAGACCTATTGAACAACATTCGATATTCCCTGTTATATATACTCTTACTCAAACCTACTAGTAGCGGTACAAATACTGAACCATGTTTGACGTTTTACTATGTGTTAAATTCCCCTCGCCTGGAAGTGGTTTTATAACAGGTATAGCGTTACTCCGTACATCACCGTGATATATCTTTGCGTTTCCTCCCGGCCGTCTAGCAGGTCTATAACTAAGACAAAAAAAATAAAAAAAAAATAAAAATAAATTCCAAACAGCCCTACCGTCGCCTGACAGTCGATGATCGAGTCCCAGCAGACCCCCAATCATCTTTGTTAGGAAAAACCCGAACAAGAAAGTCTTTCCAGCCCATCGTAGTCTCGCGACTCGCCCTGCTATACTCCCAGTACTTCGGATAATACCCAGCAAACTCCCAGTCCACAAGAGCAGTGATATTGCCCTTATCATTGACAAGGATATTTCTTGGAACAAGATCCCCATGGGTGAAAACAATCTCAGCCTTTTCCTGTCGTGTCTCTTTGTCCTGTAATGAGTCGTCGCTCTGCGATGAATCATCGTCCTGTGATGCATGCATCCTCGTGTCTATACCTTGTATTTCCTGAAACTGGTTGAACAGCCCCTCAGACTCGAATGGCCATTCCTCCTGAACCGTCTGATAACCGGTTATAAGTCTTGTTGGTCCGCCATTCAGAGCCCCAATCCTTTTACCCTTAAGTTCACGGAGCTCGGAGACATACTTCCTCAAGTCCTCGACGAGTACGTCTTTCTGGCCATCATTCAAGCCCTCCCAGACGTTGTCAAGTGGATCGCCCGGCACAAAGTCCATGGTTATTTGGACTACTTTATCGTTGTCGTAGAGAATCCTAGTGGATCCTCCCTCTTCATCGTACTTGACCTCGAACACTTTATCGTTCTCGTAGTGGATGTTGGTTGATTTGCCTTGTTCATCATAGCGGACGTTGATTTCTCTGCCGTCTTTGTACCGAATCCTACGGACCTTTGGAACCGGGATGTCCGTATTGTCATTGATGAAGATGAGCGTAAGAGGCTCGTAGATCGTGAGGCCTTCCTTCCCGCATTTATATATTGCTTTTCTCTCCTCGTCGTGGATTACGGTGTGATCTCCCCTGTCGTATATGACCTGGGGCTGAGAGATGGTATCTATTGTTTAGGGTTAGCTGATGCTACAGATAGGCAGTGATATGCTTACCATTACTAGCCATTTTGAGAACACTCTAGACTGTAGTACGGTTGAGTTTGCATGGTAAGATCAATTAGATAGAAGAGCACGATCATTTATATAGACCAGCCTGTATAAAGGGTTTCAGAGCTCTATGAAGTGAAGTTTCGATCAAATAATGAGTTGATGGTGCCATAACGCGGCTTGTTATGTTCAAAACGCCTTTGAGACTCTTTTTGAAAAGGTGATATGGGTTGAATCGGGGTGGTTTGAAGTGAAAATATGTATGTATGTGTTACGTATGTACGTCTCTATAAGTTTCCAATGACTCGAGATGCCGATGTTGGCGGTTGCTTGATTTGGGCTTGTTATTAAGTAGTAGTAGTAGTAGTAGTAGTAGTAGTAGTAG